TTATGTATATATATTTACATTTTCCGGTATTATCGTTTTAATAAAATGTGTGATCCTCAGGACACAATTAACTGAACAATGAAAATTTCCTCGTGCGATCACCGCGTCATACGTAATGGAAAGTAATCGATAATATCCGTGATAGTCACCGAACTGACCGAACGTCAGTGAACGACGAACGTCAGTCGACACTCGACCGGCGAAGCGCCGTGCGGCGCCTGTTGAAGATCGTACTGACGTGACGTGACAAGGTTATGCGTTCACATTGCTTATAAACATTGTAGACGCGTTATTTTCAATCATTCTACCGCTCCACTGGAAGACGCATGATGGCCGGCCGACTTCTTGCTCCTTTGCTCTTCGTCGTCGCTCTTGCTGCATCGCTGCCAACCTTGGGCGACACCGCCTCAGCGCACATCCACACACATCAACATAACAAAGCCGACAACAATGAAAGGACGGAGGACGGTGCCTTCAGCCCTCGCGACGCCGATCACTATGCGGAGGGCGAACACCACGAAGAGTTTGACCATGAAGCCATCCTAGGTGCGAACGAGATGATTGGATTTATTAGATTTTTAAGACTAACATTTAGAGCTCCTTTGACGTCCTTGTAAATCTTTTATACTCGCTTCAGTTTTGTATTTATGAATAATAATTGTAAATTTACATCTTCCATGTACCATTTTATTTTGTTGAAGACTGAAAGCTCTTTTCATGAAAATTAGATTCTTTTGTCAACAAAGAAAAATAAAAGAAATACTTTTATTGTTTTTATCTAATTTGCTTAGGTACTAATTTGCTAAGATACTTATCATCTTGAATATTTTATTTTGTTATATAGGGAGTGTAAAGGAAGCAGAAGAGTTTGATAGACTTCCAATACAAGAATCAAAGAGAAGATTAGGAATTTTATTGACCAAAATGGATCTGAATAATGACAAGTATATAGAGAGAAATGAATTGAAAGCTTGGATCTTGCGTTCGTTTAGGTAATATCAACTTGTTGAATATTATGTTTATCTGTTCAAGGACTTAAAGAATTTAGGTTAATTAAACTGTTTTGTAAACAGCACACTGTCTGCAGAGGAATCTGAGGATCGCTTGGACGATGCTGATACAAATGAAGATGGTAAAGTGACTTGGGAAGAAATTTTACAAGATACTTATGGCAACGATCCTGAAGACCTGGCTCTTGATGATAATTTAATCCAAGATGACAAACAGACATTCGAGGCTGCAGATTTAAACAAAGATGGTTATTTAGATACAGAGGAATTCAAGGCTTATACACATCCTGAGGAGACACCTAGAATGTTTCCACTTTTGTTGAAGCAAGCCTTGGCTGACAAAGATATAGATGGAGATGGATACATTAATTTCCAGGAGTTTATTGGTGACAGAGCCAAATCAAAAGATAAGGAATGGTTGTTAACTGAAAAAGATAAATTTGATTATGAACATGACAAGGATGGGGATGGTAGACTTAATTCGGATGAAATTCTTTCTTGGCTTGTACCAAGCAATGAGTAAGTATACTATAATATGATGTTATAAAATTTCATTACATGAAAATCTTTATTGAACATGTATCTTTATTAAAATTTTTATTAAAACATTTTATTAAAATTCATTATTTCAATAACGATAATTTCAAATGATTATAAATCTAATTTATAATATAATTTTTCTCTTATATCTATAATGATAAACATTTCTTTCTCTCTACATTTGTGTATCCATATTTATACATATCTAAATTTATTAATGACAATTGTATATTTTAATGTAACAAATTGCAATATTCTAACACAATTTTATATCATCAGATTATCTAATACTAGTTTTATTGAATTTCTAAATATTCTTCTTAAAAATAAAATATTCTTCTTAATTTAAGCAATTTTTTTTGTATTGCAAATTTTATTTTTTTGCTGATATACATGATATCACTTTTTTATATCTTTTTGTTGACGCTTCTTTCAGAGAAATAGCAAATGATGAAGTGGATCATTTGTTTGTGGGTTCAGATGACGATCACGATAATAGATTATCCTTTGATGAGATCTTGGATCATCATGATGCTTTTGTAGGTAGCGAAGCGACAGACTATGGTGATCATTTGCAAGAAATTGACCGTTTTGATGATGAACTTTGAGAATCAACGATTAATTGAATTAATATTTTAAAAAATACTGTGTTATTTTTCGTAATACTCTCTCATATCAGTACGTATATAATTGAAAATATTTTTAATATACTGCTCAAGAGACAATAGCACAAGACTATTCCTTTAAAAAATTCTATATATAAATCTAAACGTCAGTGTTTAAAAAAATAAAAATACTATGTTTAATATGTGTAGTGACACGTTTATTAAACATTAAAATCATAAAATTGATTTAGAGAAATATTAAAAATCTACTAAATTTATTAAATCACGTATAAATTCAGTAGAAAAAAATGTTCCATTTATCATTTTGAGCGGTGTATTTATCAATATTTTTTTCTATCTCCCTGTTAGCCTTTATTTGTTTCATCAATTTATTTATGCAGTCATTAGAACAAATTTTTATTGATAATAAGTCACACACACTAGATTAATGAAATTTGCACATCTTGTACATTTACGACGATTCGTAGTATAACGCTACACGAACTATCGTCTTCCACTTTTTACCAAACTTGAGTGCCATAATAGGGAATTCAAAGAAGAAAAATATATTGAGGCAACAAAAAGTCTCATATTTCTGTAATTACATATAGTGCGTCATTAAATTCCATCAATATTGTTACACTGTACATAGTAGTGCATATGCACACAAATATATATATATAT